ACGCTGGGGGGGGGGGGGGGGGGGGTGAACTATCCCGCGGGAACGTTTAGGTGTTACGCGCACCGGATGCGGCAGCGCTGGGCATGACGAGCACAACAGTGTCGGCAATAACGAAATAACGAAATAACATCGGAGGGTTGAGTCTTGCAATTCGTCTGTGTGATGAATGCATACGTACGTGCGAATTTCATCAAAACGTCATACTGCCGTGTTTGCTGGCGGGGAGCCAAAAACGCTCCCACGCAGCAGACAGAAAAAAAACAAACGAATACCAAAACTCGCAGCGCACAGCCGGTCCGAAGCCGCAGCAGGGCAGAGCCGGGTCGAACGAAGCCAGCGCCGCGGAGCACCGCTCCCCGATGCAGAGCCGCCGCTAGACTACCGGCACACCCTCACCTGGTTGAACGTCTTCATCTGTTCTCGGATAACGAATGCCAAGCGTCCGGGCGTGACCCGTGCTCGCTGCCCGTACGGTGCTGTCGCCTCCCCTCCTTGAAGCGGTTCTTCCGAAAGCTGCACCTGCATCGCGTGGATCTCCTGTGAAAATTTCCCCCGTGACCCGCCAACATGAAGCCGGAATGGTAAGTTTCTCAACAACAGCACACCTCCCGTTCACACTTTCATTAAACTTGGAAATCGTGAGAATGCCCTTTTTCTCTGTTACGAGTAAAGGTCCCTGAGTAACCGTTCACCAGCGGAGGTAATTTCGCTCTTGTTGCAATGTGGCGAGGAATTGCCAAGCGTGGCTAAATTTAGTCGGTCTTGCTAGGTTGACAGGCGAGAGTGAGCCTCAGGGGCTCGCTTTCACCCTCCGGCTGGTCACAGTACACGGAGGGTCTTTTCGTTGCAAAGATCTTCAGACCTCGAGAACGTCGTTCGCAGGGTCACGGATCTTCACGGTTGTATGTGCGTCACTACCACCGGGAAGACGCGTACCTACAGTATATCCTGGTTTCCACATTCAGTTTTATATAGAAATAGAGATGAACATGAATTTTGGTTAGGTAGTAAAATAAAAATAAAAGCGCCGACAACGGCGTCAGCGAAGCCCATTCCCTGCTTTGCAGTTATATCAAGTCTCAGGCTCCATTCGGTTTGGTGCCCTGCACTCCCACGAAAACACCACCAAAACCATAATCAGATGGGGTGGGAAACGGTATCCGTGCGTTCGTTCGCAAACCCCCGTGGATGTAACCACGATTTGGCTACGATGATGTACAGCACAACACAAATTGCTGCCATCCGCTCTGGTTGTCTTCTCTAGTCTCAGGTGGTCTTGGAATTAATGAGTGGACTCATCACGACCTCGGACAACTTACTTGAGAGAGTCGAGTTGACACATCTTGGTTTCCAGCCAGAAATCTGAAGGACAGCCTCAATGAGGGGCGGATTACCGTGGATAGCTTTGCGGAATTGCTGCGTTCGGTACACCGCAACGAAACATGCATGCGGAAGCAAAACAACACAAACAACAAACACAGCTTAAGCTTGCCTTCTTGTACTCTTGAAGTCGCTCCTCAAACTCTTCAACCATGTCCCACATGTAGTCGCTGGGCAGCTGCTCTACCGTGTTGAGTCCCGAGTCGCTGTGCAGCCGCTGCACCACGAACAGCCCGTTCACCTCCGCCTGCCTCGAAGTCTTCCCCGCGTCGGCCTTTAGGTCCTTCATGGCCAGCTTCTGGGTCTGCGGCAACCGCCGCCGCCGCCGCCGCCGCCGCCGCCGGCCGGAGAGAGGAGTGACCGGGACATGGCAGAACAAGGAGAGGAAGAGAACGTCGTCTGGGACGAGCGAGAGACAAGAAGATGACAATCCGGGTACCTTGACAACACCTACCAGGGAACACCAATTCCCCACTATTCCCCGCCAATCCTTTCCAGCAAAGAAGGGACAAACTAAACACCCCAAGAGTGCGAAACGTACTGTAAATCATGTGCTGGTTTTAACCCGAGCCCCGAGAAAGGGAAACGATTGCCTCTAATACTGTACGTTGCTCGCAACATACCACATGGGGCAGATTTTCAATACTTGGGACAGATTCACGTTCACCTTGTGACCGATCGCCGCAGGTTCTGCCACCTGGACAGATTTTCAAATACTCTGGAGAAAAAAAAAAAACCACGTTGCCGTATCATATACGGCGGTGTTGGAACCGTCTCGCCGAGAGTTGTAGTAAATGATTCTGGCATCGTCTTTGTCGTGGAGTAATCGAGCTTTAAGCGTCGGTCTCCGGGGGATAAGGAGGGTGGGGGGAAGGGGCAGCGGAAACAAAGGTAGACGACGGTGCAAATGCAAGCATGCGGTCTCAAATTGCACAAGAGCGTGCACACAGAAGAAAGAGAACCGGGCGACAACTTCCGATCGCGACGGCGAACAAGGTCCATCCGTCGACTTGTCGTGTCATACTCACCCCCTGCTCGTTCCCGAGATCTAGCAGATCTCTTCGCAGCTCTCGAATCTGAGCCTGCACCGCTAGCCCGTCGGTGGGATTGGTTCGGCTCACTTCGTCGGCAACCCCTCGCTGCCTGGAGAAAGAAGAGGAAGTCACGACCGAGGGAAAACCCGATTTCGGGATGAATTAACGGTATCTATATCGTTGAGTGGATGGGACGCTCAAGCCGGTCGTTGCGGTCGAATAGCGGCCAAAGGAGAAGGTGGCTACAAGGCCTTCGGCAGCAACCGAGATCAAACCAGTCAGCGGACCAAAGGAGCAGCAAACCATGTACAGCCGAACGGGCTTCAGCGGCAACGAAGGTCAAACCATTAGACCAGACCAGTCACATGGTTTGGTTTCGGTTGCAAAAGGTCGGAAGAATGCAGCCGGCGTGTGCGACGATTACCACAGCGGCAACTACAACGACAGCGACAGAAAATCGCGACAAAAGCAGACCAGCCTAGAGGCACGGACACAAACCTCACGCTCTAATGACGAAACGAGAACGCTCTTGACGTCAACACAAGAGGAAACGCCGCCAAGGCTCACAAAAACAAAATGCCAGGGATGCTGCACACGACTTCTCAAGACGCGTTTGGTATACGACAAGCAATAATGATGCGATAGCTCGTGTTTTCGCTCGGTTCCTCAGCTACGTTGGGCAAAGTTCTGTTGCATGTACACGCCGCAACACCCGTCCAACGCGCGACGCCCTGCAGCGCATCTCGCTTGGACAGCATGTGAGCGGTAAAACCAATCGCGGATGCTACGTTTCGCCGAAGGGGCACACGAACCACCACCACGCCGAGATAGAAAGCAGCGGAGCGTACCACCGGTGTGTATCGGATCTGGGAACAAGAGGGATTGGGCCACAAAAAAATAGTCCAAGACCCTACAGTTTCAGATGAAAAGCGCGAGCACCTACGGAGCCAAGCCCTATTCTTGTGACGCTTAGCTAGAATTTCAGCGATCAGCGTTAGGTATTCACGCAAAGGAGCAGCAAATGATGAAAACATGCGTCAGCCACGTGCCGTACCGGCGACAGCAACTTTCTCGTGCAGCCCAGCCTGACAGACAACACATACACTCTTGTAGGTACCTTTCTTCCCCCTCAGCAATGATACAAACATGCTTCAGCCACCTACCAGCGACAACAACGGCAGGCCAGCCTGACAAAACAACACGCAAGGCCATCCCCCCCCCCCCCCCCCCCGCCGCCGCCCTCACCTCTTGATCTCCTCCGCCAGCTGGTCTATCTGCTTCCTTACCACCTCCGGGAGCTGGTCATACCGCGTCTCGGGGGTAATGCCCTGCGGAGCCCCTGCCGCCGCCGCCGCCGTCGCAGGCGCTCCAAACACCGATGAAGCCCCCGGCGCCGCCGCTGCCGGCGCGCCGAACCCAAAGATCGACGAAGAGGGAGCGGGAGCAGCAGCCGCGGGGGCGGTGCCAAATGCACCACCGAAGGCCGAAGCAGGAGCGGGGGCGGGGGTCCCGCCGAACGCACTCCCGAACGCCGACGGGGCGGGGGCTGGGGTAGTGGTGCCGAACGCGCCGCCGAACGCGGAAGGGGCTGGGGCTGGGGTTGCGCCGAATGCGCTGCCGAAGGCTGGGGTGGTCGCCGGGGCCGGGGCTGCTGCTGCGGTGCCGAACAGGCCGGTCGTGCCGGGCGCCGCTGGTGCCGACGCTTTGGCACCAAAGCTGGTTGCACCCAAACGCAGAGAGAAAGGGGGGGAGGGGTTGGGCCGATGAGACACAGATTGATTGTGGGCGATAATGAAACGGGCCTGGACAGAAGATTTTACTATTGCTGACCAGAAACGTGGCGTTTTGGAGGCAGAACTACTGCTGCACTAGGAAAAGCGCTATATAACTTGGTGTACGTCCCACCGCCTTTAGCTGGAATACAAGTTGTCGCCGGCACTGCGACTACTGCTCTGTGGGCAACCACAGAAAAGCCACAGAACAGAGATATTGTAAGAAGTACCAGAACATCAGATGGTAACCATTAGACGATGGCCGTAAGTAAGGAGTACCGAGCAATGGGCAGTGAACACCGCTGGCACACGTGTGCATTCGCCGACACTTTTACGGGTGGTGTACTGTAGTCTGATGCAACGTACAACCCATCGGCCAAGCATTTGACGGTACCTCCAGATATCGAAGCGGCGGTGCCCCGGCTCTTTGATAAGCACGCCCTGTTGTTCTGTTGCCAGCTACTACATCGGTCTTTGGGTGCTCTACTGCTGTGACTCTCGCCAGCAGCAAAGTATCTGATGCATACACCCTTTGCAGCAGCACATCAGATGGACCACGCACGGCCGACCTTCGACTCGATATCGCCGTCAGAGTGTAATTAACCCGCTGGCCAATGCAAACACGGCGAGAAGACAAACCCCGTCTCGGCAAGAGGGGTGCAAGTGCAGCACTCTTCCCTTCGTCTACAACCAACCTGTGTACCAAGGTAGCCACCCAAACGAGGCTTTGGTTAAACGAACCACACGTACTGAGCTGTATCACTACATAGACTACCAGCCCCCTAGTGCTGTGGGCATCCGTTCCGAGCCTGATCGCGAGAGTGCTGCCTGTGGCCGTACAGGAATGGTACCGGCCCGCTATATAAAAGAAATAAATTAACGTGGGTGGGCAAGGACGGACACCTCTTACACTCTACACCTGTCCCTCACTTCGAGGCTCAGTTTCGTCGCCACGTACGGTCGAGCATAGGATACGGGTACAAGATGAGACGCGGCAGAAATGTGTATCGGTAGGACACACAGCTGAGCTGTGTGTCTCGCTTCTGATTAGAAGCGTGGTGTGTACATTTTCGGGAAAGTTTCGCCAATACGACTACATATTGACTATTCTTTCAGATTTGTTCTCATGACTGCTGTAGCGGGCCGGCACTCTGTCGACAGGCTGTACAACCAGTAACAAAGCGTTGTTTTACGGCCGCCGAGGGGGATCCCATTGTATTGTTACATGTAGATAACCCTGCTGTGGTCACTACTACAGCAGTACACAGCAATCAAGGCAACGGCGGTATGTATCGGAAAGTGGTGTTTTACAGTTGGAACATCTGATAATCATAGTGACAACAGCAGTGAACCACGGGTTGGCAAAACGGAATACCCCGACCATTGCATAACATCTCCCCCTTTCCTTGGCGCTCTCGTCCGTACACAGAGAGGTGGGGGTCCAGCGTGAAGGCTCAACGGCGGTGATGTCATGGCAAAGGGAAGCTCGTTTCAAATATGATCCTCCTCTGGTTACCTGAAGCCTCCAGGAGCGGCAGCAGGGGCAGGAGTGGACGCTGCTCCGAAGGAAAAGCCTCCCGCTGCGGGCGCAGGAGCTGGAGCGCCGAAGAAGCTCATGGCTGCTAGATCTTACACTACACAACAGCAGCAGTGGTGCGGCCGTGCGGCGCAGCTTCGCGCCGCTGGGAGGAGCTCCGCCGTGTAAGTATTGTAGGGTACGCCATGCTCTAAACAAGGGCGTTCTGAGGGTGCCCCGGCTAGTTGGAGCACAACAACAAGGGCTGCACACGTCTCTCTTGCCCTTCCTAGCGCACGACCAAGTGAGAGGGAAGCACCTAGGTCTTTTTTGTTAAGGGTAATCGAGGGCGGAGAAGCTACGCGGGCGTGCTACAAGTTGCCCCCTTTTTTAGGAACGTCTGCTGTTTTGAAGGCTTCGGAGCGCGTCACGTACGTCACGCCGCCGAAATCGGAGTGTGCGTCGTGACTCTTTAGGCAGACACAGGCACGATGATGCGCCCTGCTGCGGGCGTGGCATCTCGCGGCCGGGCCGCCGCCGTCCGAGTTGCAGCAACAGCCGCGGCCAGGCGTGCCGGAGGGAGGCGAGATTTCGTGCAGAATGCGCTCCCGAGCAACAGCAGCAGCAGTACATCAGCCGTTGGTTTCGTGAGCAGCAAAGCGACCTCCTCAACATCGTACAGCCAGCATGGCAGCGGAGACCGTAAGGATCTCACGCACTGGGCCGTGCTCGCGATGGGGTCAGCGCTGGCCCTGTGGACAGCAGCAGCTACGAGCAGCGACGACGAGGCAGCAGGGGTCCCGGCCGTCGCCTGCTCCGCGGCCATGGAAAAAAACAGCAACCACCACCACGGCGACGCCGGCGGCGAGCCCTCCGTCGACGCGCCGCGCAGGCTGACCAAGCGCCGGAGCATCCTTCTGGCGGAGGACGAGGTCGACAAGCAGAGCGGTCAGTCCTACTACTCCCCCTCCCTCCCCTCGGCCGCGGTCACCGGCGGCGAGCCGTCCCTCCCGCCGGCAGACCCCACCGTGTCGGACAACGCCCCCGGCGTGTCGCTCGTGGTCGCCAGCACCTACAACGGGAACGGGCCGATCGAGGACCGGCACGACATCCGGCAGAGCCCGCGTGGGGACTTCTTTGTGTCCGTTCTGGACGGCCACGGGGGCTGGCAGGCTGCCGAGCTCGCGCGGAAGCGGCTCAACATCGCGGCGCAGACGGAGCTCAAGACCTCCCTCGCGGGGAACCCGGACCAGGTGGGTGGGTGGTGTGGGGCGAGTTGTGTAATTTCGGGAATATTTTGGAATTTCCGTCCATGCTAGATGAGGTGTGTGAGAGGGAGTCGATGATGGGGACGATGACGAGTCATCGGGGGAACTTGTGTCTCATGCTAAGAATGCGTGGTGTGCGGGCAGGAAGAAAGTCTGCATGCGTAGTGCAAGGATCCCACTCATACCCACGTGTCCACTGGTGCACCGGTGATCTTGAACTGCTGTTGTTTCGCCCAAACATTGCAGTAGTGCCACTGATGCTGAAACGGCAAATTAGACATTGGATGCAAAGTTGTCTGAAACGAGTTCCGCCGAAAAGATTGACCACGGAGTGACCGCGGGCCCCTTCGATCAGATTTCAGCGTAAAAATTTCGTGTGCCACATGTAGTGTACAATTTCCAAAAGAATATGGTACCACTTGTAAGGTGCTGTGTGTTCCTCGTTTAAAAAAAATATTGATTCGATCCCAACGACCCTCGTTGGTTGCCGCTTCTTGTAACCTTAGCTGCCTGTTCCTCCTGCGAGACTCGGGCTGACGTACGTGAATAATATACCAGTATTATGTGCCGTATTAATCTAACGTCCAGGATGAAAGGGGTGGCAGGTTAGATGTTCTGTCATAGTCTCCGACGTTCGGAATAAATAGAGTGACCGGTAGATGTTTTGTGCTAAATATTCCAGCGCCATGTAAAAGGCAGGTGCTGCGCTCCCGCCCGGCGGACTGACCCCCCCCCCTGTACGCTACAACGCGGCCCCGACAACGCACCACTCGGCGCAGGTCAAAAGTGCCATCACCCAGGCGTTCTTGCGGGTGGAGAGAGAGTACCTCTACCAGGTGAAGGCTGCCTTCGAGCTGGGCTTTGGGGCGGTGGCGCGCACGGGGGCTTGCGCCATCATGGCCCTGGTGCGTGACAACCGGCTGTTCGTGGCGAACGCGGGAGACTGCAGGGCGGTGCTCGGACGCCGCAAGCCTACCAGGCTGGTCGGGGGCTGGAGCACGGGGCCTGGCGGCGACCCGGAGGCTCTCGCGCTGAGCAACGACCACAACGCGAAGGAGCAGGCGGAGCAGGCTAAGCTTAAGAAGCTGCACCCGTTCGAGGGGGACGTGTTCACCTGCAAGAGGCCCGCCTCGTGCTACGTGAAAGGGAGACTGCAGGTAGGTTGTGGTTGGGAGTTCGACGAGAGTTTTTGGGGGGTTGGGTACGGCGACGCCTTGATAGCGGTGCCCACTTGGGATGTGGGAGAACCTTTCATCGAAAGCCGATGTGTCGTGTTGGGCAGTGATCGGGAGTGCCATAGGCTACTCAAGATAGCACACCCCCTGGGTTCATTTTCAAAGGTCGGTTACTCCCACGACGACGAGGGTGGATAGATGAAACGATGCGTTTTCGGAAAGCTCTCGACGTTCAACGCCGCCATTATCGGCGCTGCCACTCGTTCTACTGCGGAGAAACCGAGCTCTGGCAATCGATCCAGAGGGTATGATATGTTTGTCTCCTACTTGTAGGGTAGTTGCCTCAGTCGCGGAACAACACTTGTACTTCATTTCGGCGGCAAGATATCAAGCAGGAGAGGTACCGCCGCATGCAACACCCTCCTTTTGACTGAGGTATCGTGGCGTTGTCGAGAGGACGAATGTTGGAGGTCGAGACTATAAATAACATTTCTGCGATCTCCTTGGACCTTCTCAAGCGGTATGACAGCCACCACACAGCTCTTCAGCCGGGTGTTCCACCCATGTTTTACTTTCTGGACGTTGACTACGTTTGAAGAGGGTGCCACCCTGTGTCTGTTTTGGTGTGCGCCACACCCGTAGTCCATCAAACTTGCCTTGCCTGTGGTGTATCACATGCTACTGTAGCAGGTGCTCGTACCGTAGTTGCACACTAGGTGGCGCGTGTAGCTCTCTGTCGCCCAGGACTGCCTTCGCGAAGAAATGTTTGTCACGAAAAATGGCCAGGGAGGGAGCACGCAGACCGTAACGCTGACCCTAACCCCTGCCCAATTCTATTGTTTATCCAGCATGTTTGGGTACTTGAAAAAACCTGCGTAGACTACTACGAGATGGTAGTGTCCCTGCGGTTGTGGCAGCGGGTGCTGTTTGTCTGCGAAAGGCACGACCAAAATCGTGAAAATCGACGGGATGCGTCATGCGTGACGTATGCATACGGTGTTGTAGAAATCCCAGCTCCAAACAGGCTGTTTCTAGTTTCATTCGGAGTCTGGCTGGTCCTCCTCTTAAGACATAGAAGTAAAAGATAGGGCGTTTCTACATACGCGTAAGGCAGCTAACCTTCCCCCAGAAAATATGTTGGAAATTGAAGTAATTTACTATTGTGGTTGGGGAGTATTTAGCCCCTACCACCCTCTGACCTCAATTTTCACAACTCTTCGCTGTTGTCCTCATTGGCGTTTCTTTTCACCCAGCCCACCCGTTCATTCGGGGACGCGTACCTAAAGTACCCGGAGTTCAATGGGAAGGAGGGCACGCACAGATCGGCGGGGAGATTCCTACCCCCTCCTTACACCCCACCCTACATCACGGCTGAGCCGGAGGTGAGGCGGAGGGGGAGCAATGAACGATGGGTGGTGCGGTCGTTGTTGTTGGCGATGGCAGTTGCGGTGTGGTGATGGTGGCAATCAGGTCCACGACGATGTCGTTGATGTCATATTACTGCGAGAAATTGAAATAGTTGCCAAGAGAGCGCCGTGCGAACCGTAAGATGCACGCCGGTCGATTCCGTAGGCACTGGAATCCCGTGAGAATAACGGGAGGAGTCACGGTTCAAAAGGTGGCTGCGGCACAGACCCGTTCCACGAAACCGCGCGGGATGTTTTCGAGCTGTCGTGGTGGCAGCATGTATGGCTACATCTTTTTTAGGGCATTTTCCCCCTCTTGTGCTCGTCCGGGTCGGCAGGCCGACTATTTAACATGCGTTCCCGCCTGAAGCAAAATGTAACCGCCATCCTTTGCATAACCCGTCGCTCGAGGATACTAGGGCTACGTACACCCGCTGTGTCACGTGCGCTACAGTGCTAGCCCTCGTTCACTAGCTTGATCCACCAACGCACTTGGGGGGGATCGCTTGTCGCCAACGGGACTGCTGTGTTTCCCACTTCTTCGCTGCAGATTTCTGTTCACGAGATCGACCAATCAAACGACGACTTCGTTATCCTAGCGTCGGACGGGCTGTGGGACCACGTGACCAACCTGGAGGCGGTGGAGATTGTCCGGAAGGCGGCCTACAGCGATAAGCACCCGGAATGCGCCAGCGACTGCCTGGTGCAGGTGCGTGCCGGGTGATTTGGTCGTCGCCATTGCCGCTTTTGTTTTATTCTTTGGCGCTTGGAGTGGCTGTACCGCCGTGGTCCCAGTATTGTGCGAGTGCGATCCGGCCGATATCACCGGCATTATTGCGGGCAACCGGCATTATTCAGAGTTGAATATTCCATCTGGGCCAGACGGTTTCACCGGCATTGTACAAGGCAACCGGCGTTATTCCGGGACCACTACTATATACCTTTTGTTTATTTCGTTGTTGACAAGAACTTCTTGGCGGATGCTTCCGGCGTTGCCGGGAAAAGTATCGTCATGGTGGTATCGTTTGGCACTTGCATTGTGTGCGATTGGGTCTTGAGTTCAGATGACTAAGAATCTTGGGTTGTTTTAGTCTGGAGCCACGTTGGAACTTTACCAGAAATTCGTCCTGTGGGTTGCTCCCGAATAAAAATACTAGGCTTTTAATGAAAATGTGAAGTGCCGGGAGCCCGGCAGCTTGTGTGGGGAGATGGGTTGTGGGGGGGGTGTCGTTCCCTCGCAGGGTACTATTTTTCTACACCTAGCGAGGCCCCGGTTTGCTACGCCGGTGCCAGCATTTCGCGGTGGATCATCGCCGCTAGGCAAACAAGATGTCAAAAAGCCCAAGCATGATGGCGAGGAAGGGATGCTTTGCAGTTCTGAGCTGTGTTGTTCAAGTTTGTCGTTAACGCTGGCGTTACGCCGCGTCAGCGGCGGGCGAAGTATCGTCGCTGCATCAAAGCTCCAGACGCGGTCCAAATCCATCCAAAACTCCTTTGTACATAGTGCTGCCAACCAGTGCTGTTTTGTTCGTACCCACAAATTTCCGAGGGGGTCATGGCTCCCCCCTCCCCTCCGTTCCACGTGCTCCGTCCTCTCGAGGACGCGTGGTCAATGGCCTAAACAAGGCATGCAAAACATGACTACTCCCCCCGCTCCCGGGTTACCCTTACTCCCGCGCAGCGTGTCTTGGAGAGAGCGGCGGAAAACCACGGTATCAGCGTAGAGGAGCTCCAGGAAGTGCCGGAGGGGAACAGGAGGCGCAGCATGCACGACGACATCACGTGTGTCGTGTTCTTCCTCAACGGGAACAGAAATAACGAAGGCTTCGCTTCCCTTCAGGGAAGCAAGGTGCAGGGCGCAACAGCGCCCGGATGCCAGGAGGCAAGCACTACTGCCACTGCTCAGTGAGGGGTGAGGGGGGAGGGGAGACCTGCTAGCTGGCTGGACCCATGGCGGGAAAGGAAAAACTACCGGGAGCTTGAGGGCGTGGAGTGATGTGTCGGTGACAAGGAGGGGGGGTGGGTGTAGAGGAAGCCATTGTTGGCGTTTCATAGATGTGTTCCACCTGGAGAGGGAGGTTTTGTTTGCCCCCGGCCGCGTGGATTGGTGGCGTTTTCCGCCGCAGGGCGACAGTCTGTGGAGCGGTGCTGATTGGAAGCCATCAGCGGGCACTTGCGCTCCGCCGTGTGTGCCTGTTGATCCAAATTTCGCCCTGGGCTAGTGAGCACAAGAGACGTGTTCGGGGTGCCCCACGTTCGATGGCGCTACTTTACCTGCTTGCCAGGCGTTGTGCTTTTTTCATGGCTTTCCGATGTCCCCGGCGTCTACAAGCGTGTTCCGCTGTGGTTAGGTGCAGAGACAACAAGCGAGAGCAGCGTTTGTTTTGTCCCGAGGCCTGTCGATGGGGTAGCCGCGGAACTTGGGGTTTTCGTATGCGTGTGAAACACTAGACTCGGTGTTGCTCGTGGTCACAACGAGCAAGGAGTACGAGGGATAGACGTGTTGTTGCTCTTCATCGTGGGGGGCAGGGATGTCTGCGTGTGAGGCACTAGAGTTGTGTTCTTGCTCGTGACCACAGCGAACGAGGATGTTTGGAAGGAGACCACGGCGGTTCCACTGGCACGGGGTATCCGCATGGCCGATGGCGGGGCCCCCAACACAAGGAATCGGGATTTCCATGGTTTTTCGTTTAGAGGCAGGCGCTTGCTTTTGACAGGAAGAGGAACGAGGAAGGCCGGCGTCCGTTGTGTTGGGGTGACTGGATGCCAAGCGTGTTTAGCATGGAAAGCTACCTTGGACTTCTGTCGGCCCAATCGCTTACGTGTGGCCGTGTGCGATCGCTGGCGCGTTGCCAGCGTGTGTGGTTTGTTTCCGCGCGAAGCACTCGCGCAGCTTCTGAGGCGATTAGTTTCTGATGATGACAGCGATATGGACCTAGGTCAACAGAGAGGTGGGAAGACCCCTGGTTGTCGGTTGTGTTTTTTTGTGAAGGCCTCTCTCCGAGCCTTCGAAGCACCCGTCAGGGATATGTAGCTTTCCGCGTGAAAAGACAATGGCGGTTACATTGTGCCCCTCCTCCCCCAGTAAACTTGCAAATTTGCAACGTTTTCGTCTGGCCAGCTAGCTGTAGATGGAACAACTTACCCACCTGTGTCTTGATGACGGGCCCTCTTTGCCGTGGTCGGGACCAACCAGCATATTCACGCGTTCTGGTAATCGGAAAACATCGCTTGTGGTAGCAATCAAACTCCAAATATGGCCGCCTTCCCAATGGTTCACATGCGTGTGTGTCCTCTTTGCACGTTTTGACTTGATGGGTGGGCGTGGCAAACAAACGGGTGTAAGTACTCCATGTTGCATCAAACTCAACACCTGCAGTCTCTGAAGCGATGCACGTTCACCAGTCGACGGGGAAAGTGCGTTGGCCTCTTGTGCGACCAGTTTCAAGAGCACCTACATAAGCACTCCTCTTGCAGACCCTGACCGATACGAAAGCTGCCGGTGCTTCCATGGTCCACAGACTCAATTCGGGGCCAACGGTATTTCATGACCGCTAAAAGACGCGAACGTGCGTCCTTGTTACCCCCGCTGTCTAGGACACACCGACAGGGATGAAAAAGTAAGGTGTGATGAACGAGGAGGGAAACCACCGCCGTTCCTCTGTCCGCAAAGCGCCCGAAACAGAGTGTCTGAATCTCGACACCTCTAACTCATTCCCGAACCCCTCGTCTTTACACGGCGAAGAAAGAAGCCCTAGTCGCTGCACATCATCCCTCCACCTAGACTCTGGTACAGTTCGGCCCAGCGATCCAACGCAACGTCCGCCCTAAAGGCGGACGAAACGTGTACCCTACCCCTCTTGGCCAAGGCCTCGAGGCGTGGGCGATCGAGCAGGAGACCCGCCATCGCCGTCGAGATCGCGCCGGGGTCGGTGTCGTCCAAGAGCGCCAAGTTGCCGTACTCTAGCATCCCACCGATGCCGAACGCGGCCACGGGGGTCCCGACCGACATCGCCTGGACGTTGACGATGGAGAACGTCTCCGATTGCGACAGGCTGGGGTTGAAGAGGAGGGTCATTCCGGCCAGGAGGCGCTCGAGGTCGCCCTCGTCGGCCCAGCCCGCGAAGTGCATTCGGCTGCTTTTGTTTTGTTTCAATTAGCCAGGGAGAGAGAACGAGAGAGAGGGGGGGGG